TGAGCCCGACAAAGAGCGCTGCTCACTCAAATGCATTCATTGATCTTCATTACTCCACTTAGCAGCACCCAGCAAACGCAATGACTTACAAATTTACCTAGCCTGCCGTCCACGCCAGGTACTGGAAAGGGTGAGTTCCCAACCTTCTTTGGCGATGGCTTAAGACCGACTGAAGGTCACTCATTGTTCATTGGCTCGGCGTCCTCGTGACCTGTCCCTTGATTGGCTGACGTTGCTGACTCTCTGTATCTTTGATTGGACGACGACTTGTGAGATTACTTTCAAAGTGACACTCTGATTGGTTACCTGCATTTCCTTTAATTGTAATAATCTCTGATATTCATATATTTATTTTATACAATCCTCTAAAATTTATTTAAACCTGTATGGATTCTCTCCTTGAGGAATACAAATGTATCTCACGGGATAATATCATTGTCATACCTATTATTAATAATTAAAAACCATTCCATTTCCCTACTCTTGTTTTTCTGCGATATTTCAGTAAATTATCGTATCGTATTGGTTCTCAAATATAACGCCGTTTCATAATAAATTAATTCGGATGTTTCTCTACTGGAATGAATGATGAAAATTTATATAAATGTTTTTGAAGGCGGTAATGATGTCTTATCATTTGTATCAGTTGACAAAACAGAAATTATTAAGCTCATCTATAATAACTGCCGGATTAAAATAGTGCTTGGTGAAAAATCATAGGTCTCAAAATTTGAGGTCTCTAGCCCGAAGCTGACACGTCTCGGACAATTTTACGGTCGGACTCGCAGCCGGTCTCACGGAATATCTAATAAACGCAGCTCGATGAAATTGGTGCACATATTCATTAGGACATAACGGTGATGCTTAGCTCGTGAAAAATTTTCCGTTTCACATTCATTCGTGAGTTATACGGTGAAACGGGTTGAAGTTAGCAGTGACCAAGAAATTTCTTATAAACTGCTGAACAGGTTTTAAATAAAATTTGAATATACATTCCTAACAACCCAACGAGGATGTATAGCTCGTGGAATTTTTTTTTTAGATTTTGCCTTTGTTTGCGAGTTATACGGCTAACCGTTCTGGCTGGCCCATTGAGAGTATTCTTTCAAAAAACCTTGAACGAAGGAACTTTGCCGTCCGACTGGAAAGTAGTTCAAGTGAGATCCCCTGCAACAGGGGATGGTGTCACCAAAAAGGTGACAAAAGCAGCCCCGGCAACTATCGCCCTGTCAGTCTGACAAGTTTTGTTTGTAAGCTAATGGAATCTGTTGTGAGGGATAGGATTATAGATCACTTGACTGCTCACCATCTCCTATCAGATTGTCAAAATGGTTTTATTGCCGGTAGATCCTGCACCACTAACTTATTATCTACGTTGAACGATTGGACTCGCCTGCTGGACGAAAGGGAGCCAGTGGATGCATTGTACCTCGATTTTGTTAAAGCATTTGACAGTGTTCCGCATGAGCGGCTGTTGCGTAAAGTGAAGTCTTTGGGAATTGAGGGAAACGTACTCCAATGGATCAGAGATTTTCTAGTAGGTAGACGACAACGTGTCAGTATTAACGGAATCGTGCCAGACTGGACATCAGTGCGCAGTGGCGTGCCACAAGGAAGCGTTCTTGGGCATATTATGTTCGTTGCTTTAATAAACGATCTGCCAGAAGCAGTGTCCAGCGTGTGCTCCATGTATGCCGACGACACAAAAGTTTATAATTCAGTGAAGGATGCGTCAAATAAAGCGCAATTGCAAGATGATCTTGTCAGTTTAGTTAACTTGGCTGATACGTGGCAGCTGCGGTTTAATGCTTGACCGATTCCAGGTAGAAACTTTAGAAATTCCAGGCTTGAAGGGCAAGTCCTATGAAGAAAGACTTAAGATTATGAAGCTTTCAAGCCTCAGTTATCGACGTCTGCGTGGGGACCTCATTGAAGTATACAAGTATATTCATGGTTTATACAAAATCCCCGAAGGATTACTAGAATTTGAAACAAAAACCAACAACAGGGGCCACGGCTATAAACTAAAAAAACTGCGCTGCAACTTCTCCACGCGCCAACATTTCTTCTCGCTTCGAATCACTGACATGTGGAACAGCCTCCCCGATGACATCGTTGGCGCTCCAAGTATGAACGCGTTCAGGAACAGACTAGATAAAGCTATGGGAAAATATATGTTCAGATTTGAAATGCCTAGCACCATATCGAACCCGGTGGAAGTCGAGTAGCTAGTTCAAACTATCGTCAGTCATCAAAAGATCGGTCAAATGACACGTTTTAGATTTTCTGTGAACAAGGCACGAAAAGGAAAAGAATCGGCGACAGGCCACATCAGGTCGAAACTTCAAAGCCGAGATCACTATGTTATGTTATGTTATATTATGTTGTGTTATGTTATACGGAGACACGACCGGCATTTCTGAGGCCGGTTTTCAAATTTGCAGTGACCAAGAAATTTCTCCCAAAGTAATACAATAGAAGTGTCGGCACTGAAGAAACAGGCTCATTACCTGTTGCCGATTCATGTACTTTTCGTGACTAGATAACAAGGCCTTCTGAAGTAAGTAAAGGATCCGGCCTTCTGAACCCGATCTTTCCATAAAAGGCGTTCATACTCGGAGCGTCAACGATGCTTTCAGGGAGGCTGTTCCACATGTCGGTGACTCGAAGCGAGAAGAAATGTTGTCGCATGGAAGTGTTGCAACGCAGTTTTTTAATTCATAGCTGTGGCCACTGTTGTTGGTTCTTTTTTCAAATTCTAGTAATCCTTCTGGGACCTTGTATAAACCCCGGGTATACATGTATACTTCAATGAGGTCACAACGCAGACGTCGATAACAGAGGCTTGGAAGCTTCATAATCTTTAATCTTACTTCATAAGGATTGCCTTTTAATCTCGGAATTATCCTTGTTGCACGTCTTTCGGTGACCACACGGCGTTTCCAAACTCTAGGTTCGGACGCACGACATCAACAAATAACTGCTTCATCGCTTCTGCATCTAGGAACTCAAAAGAGCGTCTGATCAGTCAAAGTCGTCTATTGGCTTCATTAACTTGACATTACGCCATTAACTTCATTAACTTGACATCGAAATCATCACTCTGTCGTCGCAACCGTGTATTCTCATACTGTAATCTTGCTGATCATTATTCTTACCAAAGTGGATAACTTTATATTTGTCAGCGTTAAAACGCTGCTGCCGCTTATCAGCCCAGTCAACCAGCCGGTCAAGATCACCTTGCAACTGTATTTTTGCGACGTATTACTCACTTTATTATAAACTTTTGTGTCGTCAGCATACATCGCGCACACGCTAGACACAGTTTCTGGAAGATCGCTTATAAACGTAACGGATAAAACAGGACCGAGAACGCTACCTTGTAGCACGCAACTGCGCACTGAAGCCCAGTCTGATACGGACCCATTAATACTGACACGTTATCGTCTCCCTACTAGAAAATCTCTCATCCATTTGAATACATTACTCTCAATTCCCAAAGACTTCAATTTACGCAACAGCCGCTCATGTTGGACACTGTCAAATGCCTAGGCAAAATCGAGGTACACAGCATCTACTGGCTTCCTTTCGTCCAGCAGGCGGGTCCATTCATTGAGAGTAGACAAGAGGTTAGTGGTGCAGGACCTACCGGCAATGAAGCCATGTTGACAGTCTGATAGGAGATTATTAACTGCCAGATAATTGTCAGTCGATCACTCACAACAGATTCCATTACCTTGCAAACGACACTTGTCAAACTGACGGCGATAGTTGCACGGACAGCTTTTGTAAACTTTTTTGAACAATGGTGTCACTTGAGCTTTTTTCCATTCAGCCGGCAAGATCCTTTCGGAAAATTAGCGAACGGAGCTCAATGTAATTTTGTAAACGTATTTATTAGTACCTAACTGTTATGTTTAGCTCGAGTTAATTTTATCATTGGTCCCCCTCAGGGGGGACTTCTGACGGGTGTCTGTGCTCGTCAGAAGTCCTATGGGATTTCGCGTTCCTAGGGGGATTGTTCCTGAGCGCCCCACCGCTGAGCTCGCGGTGTCTGACTGTAGGTCTCAGTTGTGGGGTTAAGTTATTTTGTAGGTAGGATTCCTTACATTATTCGTCTCTTTGAGATGCTAACGCTGCTTCTTTCGAGCCAGCTTCAGCGGGCTGGACAATATTGAGACCTTCCGCCCCTTGTGGGTGATGAATAATTGAGACCTTCCACCTCTATGGTGATGTTCATCTTGACTTTCGGTGCGAGATAGCTTAATAGCTGAAGCGCTAGTAAACATTTGGCCACTAAACTAACTAACTAACTTATCATTGGTCATTAAATTTGGAGACCGGCCGCAAGTCCGGCATTAAAATTGTCCGACACGTGAAGGTTGCATCCCTATATAGAACTGTCTTAGTTTTGTGAAATCTATAGATTTTGTTACCGTCAAGTTTTAGGTCAAAATTTAATAATGATTTGGAAATGTTTGTCATAATAACAGCAGTTGCAGGAACTTGTTCATATACTATGAGATCTGCAGGTAAATTGACTGCAAAATGTTTGCAAATTGGATATACTGCAGAGTTTATGGAATCGAATTATCATTGCAAAAATCATACATGAAATAATGGAATAAAATTATTATTTTGTGCATAGAATGTAATAATATTGTTGAGTGAACGACTTTCATTTTTGGCGCATCCAACTCAGGAATGACGATGCAACGTCAAAATTTTACCACTACAGAGGTAAGATAAAATATTCCAAAACGGATTCTATTCTGATTATTATACAATAAAGCATTAAAGTTGAACAATCAAAGGTCAATTTTAGCTATTAGACATATTTTGCTGCATAAAATGACCTCATATGATCATCAAGAAATCAGGTGATTATGTCGGGTGCCTTCTGTTTTCCTCTCGATGCTGTCTTTTAGTGTAGTTCGTAATGGTGGGCGCGTATGTTTAAATAAGTATAAAATGCCACAAAATAACCCTGGTGAGTTGGCTGCCAGGTAACTCTTGTATTTGTTATAACACTCGTATAAAATATTTAGGTCTCCTGGAACTGTTATAACTTGGATTTATTTCCAATACATGAATGATCAATAAATAAATGTGAGTTCTCTAAGCCACAGGAAACCGACTCTCAGAAGCTCTGGTTTGCGGTAAATTAAGCAATTAAGCCAGTTACTCTTAGCATATATCATTAAATTTTATTCAAAGGTACACATGTCTTGTGATACATTTGAATTTTTCCTCTTTCCTTCATTATTTTGATTTTTAAATGAATATCAATAAACGTGAAAATTACCAAAATTTGCGTTGTAAACACTGCTAAAGTCAAAGTGCTATCGCTATCGTCTCCGTAGAAGGCAGATAGAAATAGAATTTATGGTTGAAAACGTGACTTCACAGTTTGTTTACCGTATTAAGCTTAGCTACTGACCTAATTCCTATGAATATCCAAAAAAGGTATAAAATTCATTGAGAACATAAAGGCTTCAACTTAAACTTTTTAAGTCTGTTTGTGTTAGTTCTTTTTTAGATCTATTTTCTAGAAAACAAATTTTATTAGGTATCAGCTTTACCAATCAGTTTGAATTGCTTCCCAGAGGCCAGAACCTAGACCTAGTGAGTAATGAGCTAGGGAGGAATTTGGCAGTTGGCACTCTTTAATTCCTTGATTTTCCTTCAAGGCTCAGGCTTCAGTCTCCCCCAAATTGCAAGTTGATACATTTATAGCTTATTATAGGAATAGGACTTGTATATTTGTACAAAAGCCAGTTTTCCTTTAGAAAGAAATCTTATTAATGAATCCTATCTGAAATATTGAGTAGAATTTTCCTAAGCTTGCTGCTAAAAAATATAATTTTTTGGGCGATTTTCTTAATGAATCCACTCTGAAATATTAAACAAAATTTTTCTAAGCTTGCTGCCTAAAAGAATCACTTTTGTGGGTGATTTTCCAAATTGCTGGGATAATTATAGCTAGTTGCTTACTTGATATCTACTTGAGAAATTAGGCAAGGACCATAAGATAATTAAGATTTGGTGAAATTGTCCACAAGAACTGATGTTTTCTGTCTCAGTTTTGGTGGCCACTGACTGATTTTCCAGGTTGATGGGCTAATATTTTTTTACCAAGAATGCATAGCGTCAAAGCAGAGACTTTTCTAGACTCATTCTTGAGTTTAATTTTGAGTCCTATAACTATATAAGTAGACCAATAAAGTTTCATGGATAGCAGTATTATTTTATATAAGAAATTAGTTTAAATCATGGCTAAATTAAAAATGTATAAATTCTAACAAATAGAGATCTATGGTTACTAATTCACTAGGTATGCAAGCAAGTGACTTTGCTGAATTAAACTTCAATTTACATATTGAGAGAGAAAGTAAGAAACTTGTGCTATTCTGACTATACTACCATGCTGCTTTCAAATATAAATAACACAGTATTAAGTTAAGCTGAAACTTCATTACAACATTTAGAATCATTAAATTTTTTGTCTCTGGTTCTGCCTATCTGTAGGGTGCATACCAGTCATTGAAAACCTGGAAAGTCATTGGATTTCATTTCAGGTCACGGAAAGTCATGGAAGAAAAAGCATTTTGATTTCCCTCAATAAGGATGATGTTGGTTACATGACCAGGACTGCAATAAAAAAAACAGCTTGCAGTTGCAGACACAAAGGCAAGTGCACTGCAAGTTCTCACTTTCAAGACACTAGCATGGGACTTCATGCAGGCTGCAGTCCAAAACTATTGGACAAGAGCCTTGTCAGATGTGGCCTTGGTAGGAAGCTGAGATGGCTGGTGCCAAAAGTCTTTATCAAGAAGGACTGTAAGGAAGCCAACAAGACAGTTGAAGAATTGTCTCACTTTGCTTGTTGAAAATTAAGACTGCTGGGAGTACGAGGTAAATTGCTGGCATGGATCCACAGCTTCCTAACAGAAAGACTACAAGCTGTAGTTGTTGGAGGCTCAAGATCGAGCGTGGCTAAGGTGAAGAGTGGAGTACCACAGGGAACGGTACTCGGCCCAATCCTTTTCCTCATCCACATCGCCGACATAGATGTGGCAGTGAACCACGCCACTGCATCGTCATTTGCGGACGACACCCGGATATTAATGACCATCACGGACAGGACGGACAGTGAGAGGTTACAAGAAGACCTCTCTGCATTATATGACTGGGTCCTAGTGAAAAACATGCAGTTCAACGGGACCAAGTTTGAGGTCCTGAGGTACAGAGGAACCGGAAGAGCTAGAATGGATCACTGCTACCTGGCACCTGACAACTCGGAAATCGAAGAGAAGCAATTCGTTCGCGATCTAGGAGTGTTGATGAACAATCAGGTCAATTTTGGTGATCACATACCGGCAATAACCGCAAAAGGTAGACAACAGATGGGGTGGATCTGGCGGACGTTCAGAACGAGAGAAGCTGAACCGATGATCACACTCTTCAGAACCCTTGTAATACCTATTCTTGAATACTGCTGCCAGCTCTGGACTCCGTTCACACTAGGCGCAATACGGCAACTGGAAGGAGTCCAACTAACCTTTACTTCCAGGATCAGAGGGATGGAGAATTTTAACTACTGGGGGAAGGTTACAGCGACTGAGTCTGTACTCACTGCAGAGGAGACGGGAGAGGTATGTCATTCTGTACACATGGAAAATGATAACCGGAATGGTGCCAAACTTTGAGAGCGAGACCTTCAAGATTCAGACCTATCACAACGAGAGAAGGGGGAGACTGTGCAAGATCCCTCCCCTGCGTAACAGATCCGCAGTCAGATTTCAATCCCTGCAAGAAGGATCACTCTCCGTGGCAGGACCAAGGCTGTTCAACGCCCTACCAAGGGATCTAAGAGAGGGGGAATTCACCCTGGAGACCTTCAAGAGACAGCTAGACGTGTTCCTGAGCACAATTGCAGATCGACCTCCCCTGCAACACTACCAGCGGCGAGAAGCAAGCAACAGTATCGTGCATCAGGTGGCCCAAATGAGGGCGGATGAACGATAATCAGAGGCGGCGATCCATCGTGGCCTGGGACTGCTATGTCCCAAACAAATACTAAGGATGCCAAGAGATTCCCTAACACAGATGTGGATGTTTTGCAACTCTAACACAGATGTTGTGCAATGAGATGTGCAACTTTAGAGATGAATCACAACATTGCATTAAACTGAATGCACAGTTTCAAGCATTTTCAACTTCTGATCAACTGGACATTTTTTTGGCATGCCGTTCTGTCAAAGAGCACCTACAAGAAGCTCTGGAATGTAGTGCAGATGCTCATGCTCTTGTTCATGGCCAAGCCCTGGTTGAAAGAGGGTTTTTGTTCAACAAGGAAATCATGATGCACAACATGACAGAGCAAACGGTGGTTGCCCTGCGTGCTGTGTTTGATCATGTTTCACATGTTGGTTGCCTGGACAAGATGACCATCACCAAGAAGATGCTGCTTGCAGCTGGCAGTGCCAAAACAGCCTACAATCCTTATTTGGCAGAAGAGAGAGAACAGAATGTGAATGCCCAGAAAACCAGAAGAAAAAGGAAGGCTTTGTTGGATGAGCTGATGAACTGAAGAAGAAGAAAAGGTGTACATAGGAGGGCATCAAGATGCTTGAGCAAGCAGCAGATGAATATGCAGAAGCAATGGAGAGAAAGGGAGATTTAAAAATTATCTTGATGTTCAATGCCATGAAGCAATTTTTGAAAACAAAGCTAGACACTCTTACATTGAACATAAAGGAAAAAGTTGATGAAATAGCTACCAGTTAAATGTTAGAGTAGTGGTGTTGAAGGGTGTTCTGAACTGTACTGGCATTATCATGTACAATCTTGCATGCGTTACTCAATATTTGTTGTGATGTAATGCTATTGGATTCATAATAATAACAGTGTGGGCTTGATTTTCAGATATGTCATTTTTGTTCCTCTGTGTCTACCTGCTCTGTGCATTTACAGGTTTGCTATTTATCAACTGTAGGAGATGGTAAAATATGCATGGTTAGTCTTTTCAGTCATGCTAAATCTGTTGTAGTCTTGGAAAATTATATTGATGGTCATGGAAAAGTCATGGAATTTTTTTTTAAATACCATTACGCATCCTGTGTCTGGAATATTGAAAAAAAATTATATTATGAAAATTGTAAGAAAAACTTTTGTTTCACTCCAAGTTAGATAAAAGTGGAGACAAAAGTGAGCAATTTTTATTTTATATGCAAGAAAACCAAACGGAGCTATGTATACCTACGCATGGAATCAACTGTTAGCATGAGCATTTTTGTCTCAATTTGGGAGCAGCTTTTGTTCAATTTTCTGGAATGTCTATGCGGTAGCAAGTTGTAAATTTTGATTATTTTTACATTGAATAGTGTTGATGCTGGATCACTAGCTCAATCTAAGAATATCATTTGATTTAGTAATGTAGAGGTTTATTTACAGGGTGCATACCAATCATGGAAAATCTGGAATGTCCTGGAATTTAATTTTTCATTTTCCAGGCCTAAAAAGTACTGGAATTTAATTTCAGATTATGGAAAATACTACTGGAATTTGCAAATAAATAAAAAGTATTTTTCTGTGCTGCGTGTGATAACCCTAATCGCCACGGGTTGTCATGTCACGCTACAACCTCAGGTGCAAATGATATCTGCCCTTAATTTTGTTAAGTATTTTTTAGGTGTCTTCTATTTTACATACGCTGCCATTATTTTACCAGGCATTATATTTCCTATCAAATGCAGTCTTCAAACGCACAATTGTGAACTCAAATCCATTTTTAAAAATATGAGAATGAAAGGACCGAATTTCTGGCCTCAATCAGAGCCATCTCCATGTACGACAACTTCAACCGCTCGAACTTGTGTCTATGTTACCCATGGGGAGTAGACTAAGTCATTTACACGTGCGTGTGCCTGAGATGTCACTGGTGCATGTGCAGCTTCAGCACTGGTGCACCTGCATCCTCATCACTAGGCCAACATCCTCCTGCATCCATGTTGGCGGCCTGGACAAGATGACCATCACCAAGAAGATGCTGCTTGCAGCTAGGATTGCCAAAACTGCCTACAATACTTATTTGGCAGAAGAGAAAGAGCAGAATGCAAAGGCCCAGAAAACCCAGAAGAGGAAGGCTCTGTTGGATGAGCTAGATGAACTGAAGAAGAAGAAAAGGTGCATGAAGGAGGGCATCAAGGCGCTTGAGCAAGCAGCAGATGAATATGCAGAAGCGATGGAGAGAAAGGTGGATTTGAAAATCATCACAAAGTTCAACGCCATGAGGCGATCTTTGAAAACAAAGCAACAGGAGCTAGACACTCATGAACTGAACAATAAAGAAAAAGTTGATGAAATAGCTGCCAGTTGAATGTAAGGATAGTGGTGTTGAAGAGTGTTCTGAACTGTATTGACCAGACATCATGTACAATCTTGTGTGCGTTACTCAATATTTATTGTGATTTGACACTATTGAATTCATAATGATAAAGGTGTGGGCTTGATTTCCAGATTTGTGTCATTTTTGTTCTTCTGTGTCTGCCTGCTCTATTCATTTACACGTTTGCTATTTATCAACTGTAGGAGATGATAGAAGATGCATATATGGTCTTTGTCATGCTAAACCTGTCATATACGAGTCCTGGAAAAGTCCTGGAATTTTTTTTCTCAATATTAGTACGCACCCTGTATTTATTATATATTCAATATTATTGTGGCTGGGATTTGCTTAGTGAAATAATTTCAGTTAAGTTATGCACAACTGTAAAGTCTGGCTCTAAAAGTCCTTGCTTTACATTTTGGAGTTGTGCCAAACTGTAAAATCCAGCACAAAATAGATTGGTACCAAATGCATTGCCAAGAAGATATAAAGGTAGCTTAATGATAGATGATTATTGCCATTTTGCTTCTTTATTATTAAAAATTTTTATCAACATAGCTGACAGCAAATGACTGATACAGACTAGGTGCACATTAAAATTGATAAATAGTAGCTGTAAATAAAAATAGAGACATATTTAAATCCATGATGGTCTGATGAAAAGCATGAAAAGATTACAATATTTCAATTTTGGAGGCACTACTCGACATTCTGAAAGTTTTGAAGGGATGTGGTTAACCCTTTCACGGGTAAGTTACCATATATGATCACTTGAAATTGCGTCACAAAAAGCCTCACCACGGCTTCCTGTTAGTTTTTGAGGCATCCTTATAATGCCTCAGTCAATCACTAATTATCTGACCATCGTTCTATCTATAGCATCACCAGCTGCAAAGTCCACAAATTGAAATATGAGCATTTAAATGAAGGTTTTGACTCGGACAATGGAACTGACGCTCATTCTGCATTTTCTTCAAAAAGTGGAAGTATAAATATATATATTCATTTATTTTGGCAACTTGATTAAATTTAATTAAATTAAATTTTTATGTTTCTAATTTTTCATTTGCATAAACTGAATTTTAATTATATAGAAAAATTTTGTGTACTGATTGCATTTATTGAATTCTTCAAGTGTGATTTAAACCTTCAATAGGCAAAATTTGCAAAAATTCATAGAAATAAATATATATATATTGTATAATACTTCTTACTATCTTGAAATGGTTTCTGAAATTTTAATTTCTGGATATTTCAATGCTTGCCCGCTAAAGGGTTAATCAAACCACTATTTTTACATAATTTGCAACTGATTCAGCTTATGCTATCTGTATATCACATGAATTTTGTATCTATTTCAGTAATTTTAGATTCAGTTGTTGCAATTGTCAGTTATATTTTTTATCTTAATTGTATAAAATTACATCACCTTTGCCATGTAATTTGATACAATTTTCTTCTGTGGTAATATAGGCAACATGATCATGGTAAGCAAAAGCTGTGGTGATGGCGGGGCAACAGTGGATAACAGTTCAACCAACTTGATGCTTGATGCTAACCCTTTTGGTGGAGAACTTAATGAACAAGAACTTGGCAGTCTTGTAGAGCTTGACTACCACACAACCAGCAGCAGCAACTCTTCTGTCTTACTGCCTCAGGATCAGGTCTGTATTCAATTAAAATTAAAATGTTCATTTTTACTCAACTAGGTTTTTGTCATCCTTTTCAAATTGTGATACTTTCAATCAAGTTCATGTCAAAGTGGAATTTTTGACCTTATACGTTGGAAAATATACTAACTTGAATGAAAAAAGTTGAAGCAACTTGCTATTGAATGCTCCACAGCATTATGCATGTAACAAATTCTTAATTATATCCTTAATATATAAACAGCAGCAATGAATGCTGTTGCTGTTTTCTGTATTGAATTTGAATAATACGCTGTTTTTATATGCTTCAAATTGCTGCGTTGAAAACCACTTTACCATTGTTCATTATTATTATCCAATGCATTGATACAATCACTCCTTTTAACTATATTTTGCTGTACATTAGTCAGGTGATTTTCATTAAAATGTTCTTATTACAATCTGAAAATGCCTTGAATTATGTTAAGAAGTGTGAGACAACAATGGTTTTTATTTTTCTGCACTACAGTTTGCGTCTGTTACTGGTCAGCTGCTGGACGATTCAGTGGATGGAAGCAGCTCCCTCACGCGGCCCATGATGCCCCTGCAACACCCCAGTGAAGGTCAGTCATTTGTTACTTGTATGGCCCTGCATTAAATTTGTCAGACTTGTGCTCACTTTGGATATTTTGACATCTCTCAGCAATTTAAGCTTATAAAGGTGAAAATGGCTCATAATAGATGCAATACACCTAATATTGTTGGTAAGTTATATAGGTAGTTACATGTTCTGTTATGGATAGTGGTACCTAATGCAAAAATTTTCTTGTGGTCTCTTGATACAAGCTTTCTGCTTGTCTTGGTGGCACTGATTTTTTGTGCTGAAGCCACCATAGGATTGGGTTGTTCTCAACATTTTTGCATATTTTGAGAAATATGCAAATATGCAATATGCAAAATATGCAACATTTTGCATATTTGCATATATGTAAAATCATGAAATTTTTTAAAATCTAATTTAGCCAAACTGATTGTCAATTTTACAATAGGTAATTTTGCTGCAATTTTTTTTAACTGTATATAGGTCAATGAATGTATATATAAAAATTAAAGTGATGCAAGTATCCTATTTTATGTTCAACATCTATGTAGAACACATTGGACTATGTAAATATAAATTATTGTGTAACTTGCACTGTCAGCGCAAGATAAAAAAGCATTTGCAGGAAGTACAAAGCAGTATTAATATTCATGCACTTGGTACTTGTAAATTTTTGAATGGTATATTAAGCATTGAAAGTTGAGAGCAATTATATTCACTTGTTATTAAGTGACACAGGCACATGCTATAGAATTATTGCTGCCAATCTGAGCCGTGTTATTACAATTCTTCACTTTAATTGCCAGGTGACATGGAGTCAATGTTCAGCACAATAGAAGACCAAGAAGCTTTGTGTCACAGTTCCCCTCCCTCTGCCTCCTTGTCATTCACAAGTGAACAACCATCTCTCATATTCACATTGGCCAGCACTGCTCCTTCATTCACCTCGTGTTCATCTCCCAACAACATAACCCACACAACTAATTACATCTCAAGTCCTACTGCACCTCAGTCTTCTCCTTTACCAAAAACAAATTCATCCTCTGTGAACGTGACAAGTTACTTCCATGACAGTCTGGAAGATGATGAGAGCAGCATTGGTGACATTTCTTCTTACTCTGATGTTATGACGGAGCCACAGAAACAACCACACATCATTCCTGCCACAGGTTAGCTTACCTTATCAACTGAGAAGGAACAGGTCAACAAAATTGAAGTATGTGTTTTGATCCTGTTGGATATAGTCTTTTATGCAAGATAAATCAGTGAGATTTATCTTATATTTTATGTTATATATATAAATATTATATTTTTATTTGGATGTTTTATTTTCTTGGGCAAGTTTTTCTTTGTAATTTTATTGCATTGTTACCTTCATCTGCAACGAATTTTCTTCAAAATGCATACAAAGAGGAAGTATAACATTGTAAATGGTTCTTAGATGGCGGCGGCAGCAGTTTTCAGCTAGTAGGCCTGGCAAACGCTAGTGTGGACAATAGTTGCCTTGACTCACTGGGCGTTACTACCATGATGGTGGACGAGCAGCCTCTGACTGGCTCCTCGCTGCCCCCCAGCTTGGGGTTTGGGGACCATGCAGGTGTCAAGCCTCAAGAGGGAGCAGCAGCAGGAGTTGCATTGAAATCCATTGATTTATCTAATTTCCAATTAGTGCGGACGAGCACCGGACCAATCCTGGTCAAGCAAATGCAGAACAGCAATAAGGTGAGCTGGCTTACAACCCATTAATAATGTGCAAAACTAATATAGAATATTTGTTTACTTTTTACTGCTGTGAATGCATTTCTCTGTCTTGTTATGGTTCTTATTGGTGGGTATTATTAGCTCTAAATTGTAATGTGTGAGTTCTGCTGGGACCTCGTCAAAATTGAAGCAAAATGCAACTTTTTATCAAGATCCTTATTAACTGAAGAAACACATTTTTCATTGTAGGTAATTTATTAAGTGTTACGATGTTTTTTATCTGACTGCAGACATGATTTACCAGCATACAAATCATCTTGGTAAGATTTTGAACTATCGCTTTTTAATATGCATTCAAGGCTTTTTAAGCTGCAATTCTATTTTACAGCATTGTGATCTGGATATAAAACATGCAGTTTGAAGATACACATTTTTTAAGCATTGGCCCAAAAAAATAACACGTTACTTAGGTTTTTATTTAGAATCTTTAAACTATAAGTTAATTTTGAGAATATTGCTGTTTGTGGTTCAAGGAATTGAGTTTGTAAGAGATATTTTGGTAAACATGTAGAAGCTGAGCAATAGGAGGAGGCCAAAAATTTAGTCCCTGGATTGATGCTGAGGAAATGAAAAAGATAAACCAATTAAGCATAAATCTATATTTGAAATACTGTTATAGAATATATGGCCATTTTTAAATTGGGTGCATCTCGTCTCTTTTGATGTTAAGGATAATGGCGCTAATCTCCTAAGTTGTTTTGTAAATACATTAATTCTTAATTGTATTGAGGTGCTGACTACTTATACAACAAATTACCATGAACCTGAAATCACCATGCTTTCCATTTCAAATGCGGCCACACCGGTGAATGTGAAGAAATTCTTACTGATATGATCCCACTTTTCAAGGGTCGCCTTGCCAATGCAAATTGAAAGCGTTTGATTGGTCCAACATTTTCTAAAATTTTTTATTCGTAATAAAACTATTGATTCTCTAGCATTATGTGTAGCTATTTCTAAAATAGCGGCTTTGTCATCATTATTGAAATTATTACCTTTATTCCCCAATTTATTATCTTTTCAATTTAGATTGGGCTCTGTGTTGATCCATCCAATAATTCCCATAATTAATAAAATTGAATGAACTTTAAATAGGTACCTACCGGTATTATATTGAAAAATCTTGATTTCATAAATTCAATATGAAATCTATCCAAGAATATTTACTTACTTTAATTTGCTTAAAAATCTTCTTAATTTTCTAAATTAGTTTTAGTTTATTATGTATATATTTGAAATATATATATATTACATATATAGGCAGTAATCAATATTGTTGTTATAATATAGGTGTATTATTAGTTATAAAAAAATTTTCCTGATAGATGAAAGATTAAATAAGGCTGTTTAGTTCCATTGGACAATATTTTTTTCGAAATTTTGTTATTAGACAGCACATTTTTTGTGCCTTATCACTAATCACAAGTGATATGGTAGAATGTTCCTAAAGTGTCCCACCATTATCTTCATTAATCTCTATTTAACGTCTTCTATGACGGCACTTCTTTCTTTTGAATGGTACCATCAGAAGGATACTAATATTTACCATGTATTCATTTTGCAGGTGATATCTAAAGTGGTGATCAACAACACAAGCAGCAGCAGCACGCACCAGCAAATACGCTTGTTGCCAGCCACCAGCAGCACACGCACCATTATTTTAAGTGGCACCGGCGCTGGCGGCAGCTCAGCCAGAACAACGATGGCGGCGGTGGCCAGCAAGGACACATTGGGACCACCGCCACCCAGCACCACCAAGCTCACGCTGCAGCAGGCCCAGAAACTCGGCCTCATCTCCCCCTCAAAACTTGTACAGCAGTCGCCTACCAAGATCGTCATGAAACAAGTATGCAACGGCCACGTTTATGAGACAGTGGCTTATAGGGTGACTGTAATTAGATTTAATTACCATGTTAAAGAGGAAGGGTTAGTTCACTGTCATTTTGAATACCTCTTAAGTATATAATTAATATTTAGAATGAAAGACATTCATTTCAATTCAATGCTAAAAAAGTTTGAGTATATAATGTTCATGTTAAAAATGTAAAAGTTAGGAATTATCTTGCCAATAAGTATAGTAGGTATCCAATTGTCCCGCTCTTTAGCATTTTATTTATTTGTCCTTCTATAGAGACAAGTGCTTATCTATAAATGTTGGAGAGACACGCGCCGCGTGCCATGTTAAAAATATTATGGAAAAGCGCTAACTTTATGACTCATTTATGTGTAATAAGATCTCTGGAATTGCTGCTTGTGTCAGTAACAGCATTTTTCTAACGATAATGATACGCTTGCAGTTGTTATTAGTATTGATTATCATTATTAGGTTGGAGGCAGCAGCAACAATATAAGCAGCAGCCGCATTGTCCTGGCTCCTGGTGGGGGCTCCACTCCCCACCCCCTCCTCCTCAAGTCCACCCCCAAGATTTCCCCAGCTCAGCCCCAAGTATCGAGAGTAAGTGTGCTCGGTATTTACTTACTCTGGTGTGCACATAACAATTCATTTGGGTGTTATGGTATTGTACGCATTTACTCCTTAATTTCAGCGTTATATTGGTGGTCCCTTTTGAGGATTGCACGCTAACGTTGTTTATGGTCATTGTTTTCTGTTATACATTCATGTTGCTTAAATTTCATTCAAAAGCAACAGAAGTCAACATTTAATTGCTTGTTTTTTTTTAGTTTTCATCCTCCACAAATGTTTGGAAGATGTGATTGAAAATTTTTTGGTAACTTTCTCCAATTGTTTTATTTCCGGCATCTTTAAAAGATGTAAGGATATTCTTTGAGGTTTGAATTTTGATATTCTCTGTATTTTTTACTTCGCAACATGTGTACATAAGACTTAGCTAAATTACTACTTCTATTGCAGGACTGTGGGACAGTTAAAATTTTGCCTCCACCTAAACCCGGCGCGCAAGTGCAGAAAATTTTTATCCGTAATCCCAGTGAAGCTGGCGATGGCAGAGCATTGCAGCAGCCCATCATACGCGTCGCTTCCAGTGCTGTTGTTTCTGCACCCAGTATTGTCCTTAATAACAACAACAATAAAGATAGTGCTAAGGTGAGTTACTTATGCTACTTGTTATTGCGTCTTACATTTTGTTTGATGAAGAAACATAGATTTTCAAAGATGATTTTGAAGATTGCGAGGTACTGCTAAGCATGTTGACAATGCTCGTCTCGATTTAAGGTAACATGCTCAGAATAGCGCTTCAATATTGGTTGTAGAAGGCAGAGATAAAAATGACCTTCATTATAACAGGAAAAAACTTGTTTGAAAAGCTACCTTGTATTCTGAGCAAGCAAATTGGATGGTCCAAATATTTTCGTGAATATGAGTGCATGTTCATCGATTTAAAAGTGCCGTTTTAATGGATTTGTCTTATGTATTTGCAGACTGTGGGCATACGATTAATGAGTCCCATTAGCAGCCACAAGCCCATTGCTCCCGTCCCTTCTCAACAAATAAAAATACGACCAATCTCCATTGCACCTAATAATCAGGTATGAACTTCTCCTGCCTGCATTGATTTTAAGTTCTGATTATTTATTTCTCACATCTCTAAATAGTGAAAAATGTGTTGTGGATTACGCGAGAATTTTCATTTTCGTTTATGTTTAGTCATCACCACTAAGAAGCAAATTATATGAGTGGGCAACTGTGATAAAATGTTCCTGGTAGTTAACATGTAGTGAAATAAAATGTACGGTTGAATAAATGTCTATGGAGTGTTTGTGAACCTTCTTTCTTATATTTTTTTGACCCCTGGACATTAAATTTTGTATATAGTAACCATAATGGTATATGACCATATAGTAGCCATTAGAGCCCATATTCAATGCATCGTGGTTTATGTATCAGACGCAACGCCCGTGTTCAGTTGTTGGTTATTCACGTGAATCATTTGCTATGTTGAAAACCTTAATCTGATATGACAATTTGATAGTCCGGGGAGATGTGCACTGTTTTTCAGACTAGTCATTTTTAATACAAATATTCCTCTATTGACAGATTATCAATAAACCGCAACAACAGCAGCAGTGCGTCATCATTCCTGTGTCCGGGCAGAAGCAAAACGTCGTAATGATTCCCCTTCAATATCTCAGTCAGGTAAATAAATTCCATTTGCAGGACTTCAAATACATGTATAGGTAAAAATGGTTATGTCACCATATTCCATGGATAAAAGTTGCCATTGAATGGAACTTTTTTTTCCAAGTGTTTGGTACGAGGGTTTTATAGTTGAACGTAGCCTGTCAATGGAACCAAGTTAGATTGCTCTGTCTCCTCTGAGTAATCCTGACTGTTTAGAGTGGTGGTATCTATAAGATGAAAGAGTACAAGTGTAAATTTGAAAAAGGATGTTGTTGCGTCTGCTGACATGTCTTCTCATAAAGTGTGTCGCTTTTGAGAAATCTTTGAACGCACCGACTCGCATGCTTGAATATCTTGTGTTGTGTTGCCTCTTATCTGGGTGTCATGTGAAGTATTTTGTGTTGTGGTGTTCCTTCTTATCTGGGGTGTCATGTGAAGTATTTTGTGTTATGGTGTTACTGCAGGTGTTATTTGAAGTATGTAACAGTGATGATGAAGGAATTGGTATTGGGCAACGAGATCAGCTTGTTATTTAAAGTTGTTTGCGGTATGCAAATGCTCCCAACCACCAAATTAACCGACAACATTGAATTAACATAAAAAAATATGTTACTAATAAAATGTCCGCAGTGTTTCGTATGGTAACTAGTAATCTGGGGCCGCGGGAATTTAATGTAATAACAAGCCAGTTTGGGCTTTTATTTCCCTGGAACATATCATCACGGCAGATTGTATCTTATTTCGAGGGTTAATTCTTATAATGCCTAACGAATAAATGTCTTTGAGTTGATAAACAGGATAAATTGGTTCCGGTAAAATGTTTATAATCATAATACAGTTGTTTTGATTAATAAATTTTTGATCAGTTGCAGAGCAGCGCGCCGGCACCCAGCTCTGCCCCAATTATTGTCAACACGAGCGCCCCCTCCGTTGCTCCTCCCACGCCCTCCCCCTCCACCGCCCCCCAGTCCAAGCCCCCACCCCCTCCCAAGACGCTCATAGATGCTAACGGCATCAAGAGTCGTAAACCCTGCAACTGCAACAAAAGCCAGTGTCTTAAGCTGTGAGTTACTTACTTCTTCTCTGCTCTCTTTTGAAAATATTGTTAAGGAAATCTTTTCTTCCAAGCGCAACACTTCCTGATGTTTAGAATCATAAGCATTTTTTTAGCATTTTACTTCGTATAGTAACGTAATAGACGCAATACTTTCCACTTACTGAGCGAAGAAACAGGTTTGTTGGTTGATGGAAACCTAGAAGTTAATGACGGATTTATGCTCTAGACTTACGATATTAGAAAAATTTCAAGATAATATTGACTGTGAAACATTTCTCTTTGTGATTCTAACAGGGAAAGACTATTTAGAGCGTGTCATAGATTTTTTGTGTGATTTCAATTTTCAGATACTGTGATTGTTTCGCCAATGGGGAGTTTTGCAATAACTGCAACTGCAGTAACTGCTACAATAATCTAAACCACGAGGAGGAAAGACAAAAAGCCATAAAGTTGTGCCTTGACCGCAACCCGAGCGCCTTCAAACCCAAGATCGGCAAAGGAGGAACCAGCACAGAGCGTCGGCATAACAAAGGCTGTAACTGCAAGCGATCAGGCTGCCTCAAGAATTACTGCGAGTGCTACGAGGTGGGTTCTCTTCTGATAACAGATAATAATGCCTAATGAAAGTAGTAAATCCCGAGGTGTATTATTTCTTCTTCGTGAGAGAATGTCAAGTGGAAAGTCCAACGCCCATATATACAAATAATCTACGATACCCATAATTAGAAATATTAATTTTCTATACATTTAAATTTGTTTCGATTTAAATTTACTTATGTTCTTGTATGCATTATTATTAAGCGTACATTGAACTTGTTATTTTATCTTTTTTACATTTTCCTGCCTCAATTATTTACAATTTTCAGGCAAAAATCCCATGCTCGAACATGTGCAAATGTTATGGCTGCAAGAATGTGGACAACGCGACGCTGCTGGAACGACGGAAGCTGATGCAGCTTCCCCCAGACCCTTCCACCATCATGTCGAGCGCTGCTCCTGCGCACTCCTTAACGTCCAGCATAATGGACTCACTTGGCAGCATCGGCAGCACAAGTAGCCTCATTAGTTCGTGCAGCACTCATGCTGAACCTGAGAGCACCGGTTCCTCGGGGTTCTCGAGTGGTGGCAGTTTCAGCAGCACCAACAGCGGAAGTTTCTCCCGCAACAACAGCACCAGTAGCAATAATCATGGCGGCAGTAACGCCTTGAAAAACTTCCCTGTCACTGTGCCTTCAGCCTCACCCTCTAAATTTGGTGCTCTTAAGTAAGTGCCCCTTAATACATATGTTTATTATGTTTAGCTGCAATCAACCATGAATTTCGTTTACCAATTTATGTATTTTGGGCTAAGTGTTATGTGGGGGCTTGGCTTACTAGTTCAATTATTTTGAGAATCGGACTGTATTTATATGGGTTCTAATGAAGCAAGCCTGTGGTAATTGTTTAGAGTTTGCTTAACCCCTTAATCCTATTATTATATTCACCTTGTGTTCAGGGGTGTGGGAAGCAGCAGAGGGCCGTCTCCACCGTGTGGGGCCGTGAGCTACCGTATCAGCCAAGAAGTTGTGAGCGCCACATGTGGCTGTATTCTCGCCACAGCCGCACGCTCCCAGAAACAGGGTCTTGAGAGACGTCAAACAGAAGCTGCCATCATAAAGGAGTTTCACAATTGCATACAACACATCATACAGGGATGTATGACGTCACAGGCCAGAGCTAAAGGTGAGATCTACTGTACATACAGTGGGGGGAAACTTGAAAGTGAACTTCGTACACTTGAAAAATCGTATTTTAATGTATGTAAGTACACAAACTTAACAGGAAAAGGGATTTAAATTATGTATAGAGACGCATAGTATTCAAAAATACTATCAAAAGAAATTAAATCTCAATGCAACTAAAAACAAGTTTTGTACGAATACTTTTTTGACCCGAAGAAGTTAACATGTTGCATTAATTTTTGTTGCATTGAGATTTAATTTCTATTGATGCTATTTTTGAATACAATGCGCCTCTATACATAATATAACTCACTTCTCCTGTTCAGTTTGTGTACTTACATACATTAAAATACGATTTTTCAAGTGTACGAATATTTATTTCCCCCCACTGTATACAGGGAAGCTTGATTATCATGGACCGGTGCTGGTTGTGTGAAAGCAAGCTTTAGGTATCAAGGCTAATGTTCTGCTCTAATTATGATTGGTGAATTTGGCTGTTGGAAGGAATTTTTACGAAGCTAGGCCACACTCAAGCAGAAGATAAGTTTCAGCATATGTGGCTCCAACTTAGTGGGGCTGATGAAGTACCCTACTGGAACTAAGTACCTACATCTATGCTTGCACTACTGTATACTGAAAACGTAATTTCCTTTATAAATTTCTGTGTAGGCCTGTAAATTTGTTTCGAGAGCAAGTGTAAATTGATATGATAATAGGCACTATTATCTTGGCAGGTAGGTATATATTATTGCTACTGGAAATACCCTAAAGGAATGGTTTAAGGAATTTTGAAGGGCATTTGCTACATAGTTAAAGTACCACAAATTTTTACAATAAATTGAGGCTGAAATCTTGGTAGAAATAGCATTTTTTCGTTTTTCGGATCTGATTATATTGTTGCCTCGCCCATGCAGGTGAGTATTGACAAATCTGTTGATGATAGAGATAAACTCTCTTTTTTATCATTTTAATGTTCTGTATTTTTGTTATCTTGATGTGGCTAATGAATACTTTAATGTGCAGGTAACTGAAGGCGCCGTATCCTGATGCATCCGGCAATCCGGTTACGGTCAAATCCTGAGATACGTCTTTGCTCCCTCAAATTTTGCTGCCTCTTCAGACTTCGACTTCTTTTAATTCTCGTATAATTTTACTTATGTTTTCTATTCAGAGTCTTAATAATTATTTGTCGAACGTTCGTATTGGGCTCGTCTGTTAGCATAATTTACAGTGAAGTGGACGTGATTTTGTAATACTACCACTTCCATGCTTACCTCCATTATCAAGCACCGCTCCTTCTATGCTAGTGAATGATTTTATGTCTTTGTTTTTGTTATATAATCTGATGCTTTATTTATAATTTTAAGGTTACGTTCATTGTTGTGATCGAGAAACGTTTTATTTTTCTTTGGTTTCATTTAGGCATGTATGATGAGGTCGTTCATACAAGTCGTGTTGTGTTCAGGGCTTTAGAAAATTTACTCTTGATTTATTCTCAAATGGGATGAGTCACAAAGTCTTCTTGTTTGGCCAAATCTTAACTCAAAATTTGCATTCAATTGTTGATTTGCATTGTGGAATGAAATTGTTAAGAGATTTTATGTTATTTGAATACTAGATAATTTTAGCCTTATCCATCCGGTATTATTTGCTGTGAATTTGAATGTCGCAATCTCAGTAAAGGAGGGTTTTTGAGACGATACACACTGGCTGACCATCGATGATATTCGAATTTCATCAGGGCAAATTATAAAATTTATTTCAATAGCGATTTTAATTAATTCCTAATTCTTTTTAACTGGGATGGAAACTGTCAGCACTGATGAGTCATAATAATGGTGGCTTAAGATTGTCGCTTCAGCAGTCCTGGGATAAAATTAATGATAATCTACTCTGTTAGCGCGATGTTTCTATGGCTTTCTCTGCATGCTGCTCCTTTTTAGACGCTTTCACTTCCCTATGATGATGATGGAATATGCTTTTTACCATGAATTGTTATGAAATGAGGCATTATTAATTATACCAGTCAATAATAAATCAACTAACGATTATTAATGTTCGTCTCGACTCTCGAGTGATGGCACGGTAATGCTGACGTCGTTGATGGATCTACATAACACATTTTCAATCACGCGCAGCGTGTCGGGGGATACTAAATCATCTTTTATTGATATGCAGATGATGTCTCAAAAAACTTGATTCAATGCCGTTATCCAGCAGTTACGCGAATTATCAATTTTCTGACCGGAATCAATTGGCATGCGTATCTGGCACTATGCAAGATACTGATGGAATCATGAACTACAGTTTCAAGTACTTCCGACTATCTTCAGTACCATAGGTATTGACACGGCTTTGTTTAGAAATTATTAATACTGGTTAGGTGGAGAAGAGCAAACTTCCTCTACGTGAAGCTAATGATTGTTGCAACATTGCTTAGTGATGTTTTTCATCAATTGGTCTTTTTCTTTCGTTGACAATTCTGTTGCCCTTAATGCGAGTTTTTATGGGAACCCGTTTAATCTTCTAGGATATAAACACTAGTATATAGTGTGCAATATTGTGTAACGTTTAAAGTACGTCCATTGTAGCCATGCGAATTACACAAGCCTAACACGAGAAGCAGCTTCATGTTGTAGGGTTCGTGTACAGCTTTTAATTCAGAGATTATTTTTACAGGTGTGAATGGTGGTTGTCGACGCTTCGAGTTGAGTCGTTTTCCGATTTAAGCCTGCCTCGTGATTGTAAATTCTAATTTCCTGCTATCTTCCTGTAATAATTATTTTTTAAAATAATTTCAGCTTGGGACAAAAATTAAATAATTTGATATTAAAATTATGGAATCTTCATGCGCCGGAGACATTGAAGCGTTTCACGTCCCTATTATTCCTAATCCGTTAATTTTCCCCTTGAATTAAGGATTCTTCGTGGTCTGTGGAGAGCGGCTTGTTCTTATGAGTTTGACGCAAATATACCTAATGATCGCTGCGCTGGTATCAACGGTCTCCACTGTTGGTGCTTCTCGTTCTTTTACTTATGGTATGCGCTGTAACTTTGGTCTTGGGCTGTACAAAATGTAAATATGTACACGAGTAGATTTCGTTGACTGTCCACCGGCGAGTACAATTCTTCTATCTGTAAATTGCAATTGTAGATAGCGCCTGAAAATGTAATTACACTCTATTGTCAAATAGTTTTTAATATTATTTATTGATAATAAAAAGTTCGATTAATTTTCACAGTATTATTGACATGTAATAGGGAATAGGGTTACCTAGAACAGGCCTTGTCACATAATAACGCAAGACGAGGAACGAGCAGAATATTGAACATGACAAGCTGCGCACTGACAAAAATTTGAAATACAATCGTATATAGCAAAATGTTTTAAACTGCCAGCAATACTTAACTCTGACGTAAAACGTTTGAAGTTCATTCATAATCCTAATTTCAGACGCCACAATAAATATTCTACCTTTTTGTACAGAAATGATAATCATGTGGATAATAATTAAAATAATCTCGTCCAGTTGACCACAATGATAATAATTATCGAGTATGACGTTAGTCCCTGAAATCCAGGCCTCAGCGAGACAGAATTGTGAACGTCACTGCTTAGATTTGAGAGCTGCTGAGGCTCGGTTCATCGTACGCTCTTAGATTATGCTTATTTAGATCTCACTATAAAACTAAGACTACCATCTTGTCAACCTGTGAAAAGTGTCAGGTTGTTGGGCTTACTACAGTCAACAGATCAAATTTGATTTACTTAATATAAACTTAGGAGAATTATTTACCTGTTAGTTAATAGTCATCGCGCTGAAAAACGCTGCTTCGAGCGTTTGCTCGAAGACTGGGCTAGTGTTCGCCGAGCCTCGTTATCACGCTTTTGAGATCGGACACTACAACGATTAGAAGAGAGTAGAAAAGAGAATAAAAGAATAATTTAACAAGAAGCGCGAAGATCACTGGTAAATAAACGCATAATGGAAGAAGCGATTAAAAGAATGGCAACAGCAAACTGAGTATTCACAGATTTTTCTGGAAGTTCGACTGAAAACATTAGCCGATGTTGTAAACTCCAACATCGAGGGAAAATAGCTGTCAATACCATAAGGTCTGAACTACAAATATTTTTCTTAGAAGACAACCAGCACCTTCGTCCAATGTTCATCAGCAGAGTTCAACTTGACGTAGAACTTGCCAGGTGCGATGAGGACTTCAGCAAATGTTTGAGTTCCTTTGATACTCTGCAGGTATGGTAGAGAAGAAACATTCGCGTCTATATCTTCTTTAGTAGCTAAATAAAAGCGCGTGTCTGTGAGGGGTCGCAGCATAGATATTATCTCGGCGGCTGACTGATGATAGTTGTGGCCAAACTTTTTGACGTTGGAGTGAGTGGTCTTCTCGATAAGCTCCTTGACGTACAGCCCAGTGACGTCAGCCGTCAGGTAAGTGTGGTAACTAGCTGAGAACAACCACCGAATCTGTGCATTATTTTTCACTGCAAATTCGTTCATGTAGTAAAAGTTTACTTTATTCCTGAATTGATTGATGGGAGGGTCACTCACCACGAAAAGTTTAGTGTAGCCCATGAGGACAACATCGCTCAAAGCTTCTTGAAGGTGAGACCAAAGAACCGAAGTGCTGTGATCTCGCTGATCCGACAGGCTCGTGAACGAGTACTCTTTTTCGGCTGTCCACACGTAGCCGCTGAGAATGGAAATATTCTGGTCTACTGTGATGTGGTTGCCAGGGCTGCGGCTGTAAACTTTAGGGTTCTCGCACCACGTCACGTGAACCATAGCTTCGTCGAGCTTCAGCTGGCACCTGGCAAGCGCGGCTCGCATCACGCAGTACTTGATGTTCACGCCGTCCAGGTGCTCATCAAGACGTGCGAGGGCATCTTTAAAGGAACTAATCAAGTCCCCTGCCGTCTCCTGGACACTTTTCAAGGAACGAGCGAAATTTCCCTTCATGCTTTTCATCCACGTCAAACACGACACCTGGCGGTCTGGGTCCGAAACTCTGTCCAGACTGGCCATGAGACTAGCACGCAGTTTTTTGTCTACTAGTGTCGTCTCGAAGTCACCCTTGAAATGTATCACGTTATGTTCTACTAAGTTTTCGAACAATATTTCAGCTGAGCCACAGGTCAAGCAGCTAGAAAACCCTCGAGCAATGGCTGATTTCCTGACCATTGAGTGCGGCAAACACTTAGCAAACATCTCCAAGTTGCAATCAACCGCGTGGGTCGCAAGGAACCTCTGATGGAGGAGCCCAATAAATTGATCGCGATAGAGACCGAGTTGCGTGGCTTCTTTGCCGTCACCCAACTCCGCATCGGCGCTGGCACCCTCTTCGGTGTTGCTGCAGTTGTACAAAGTTCGCTCCAGATACGTCGAGTCTTCCACAAATTTCAAGACTTTCTCACGGAGATTCGGAGGCACGAATTTGATATCACAGACGCCAAGGGTTTCAGATAAACTTTCAGCTCTACATTTTAAGAAAATATCATAGATGTCGTTGTCTCGTACCTGCACATCCTCATTTGATACCACAGGACTGGAGAGCCGTACTGACACCTCCGGCACATAATCCTCATCTCTTAATTCTAAGGGGATTTTCTTCAGATTCTGCTTCTTCTTTTCAGAGGGTGAAGTTGACGCTTTTCTCTTTGTTGAACCCTCGTTCACAGGTTGGTGAGAAGTCTTTGAGTTTACCAGAGGATTCGTGGAGTGTATTTCAGGCAATGGGTCAGAACTGAGATTCATTTTAGCACGCAATCGCGCAAATGCTTGACCTTCACGAATAGCACTTAGTCTAAGCGATTCAAGATCATCATAAGAAAAACTCTGAATGGGATTCGTATTATAGGAAGTCGGAGTTGTTATTGGCGCGTCAATCTTTATCTTCGATCGAGGTTTGATCCTTGGTACGTTTCCTCTAGTGGATTTGACGGCAACCTGCCGTTTTTTTGTGACTTCGTAAGTCACAGTATCTGACGAACAGGCAGAATTAGAAACAGTAGCCTTCTTCAACTTGACGATTGCTAAATGTACAGATTTTTTCTGAGCTTTCTTTGGTAAGGATTTAGCTATCATATGCGTTGTTTGCGGGCAGGTTGAAATTGCAGAAATCATCTTATTTTCGACAGAAGATGGGTTCTTTATTCTTTCCCCATTCACAAGTACAGGTGTCGCTCCGCATGAATCGTTCTCAATCTGCAGTGTTGAGTGGGAAGAGCAGTTAGCAGTCTGGCTTAATGTGTCTAGTGGTGATTTATTGCCGTCATCAAGACGAGCAGTGCAGCTCTCGGACTTAAGTTTGCCACTCAAGAGACTTTCATTTAAATTAGGATTATTCAAGACCTCCTCTACATAGCGTCGGTATGTCTTGTCTTCCGCAGAGTCGACGTCGATAATGACGTCTTCAGCAGGATTGTCGAGGCGCTTGAGTCGATAATCAGGAAGCTTGAACATGGACACGTCCGAGTTTTGGCCCAGTCTCTCAAGTTCTTCTTTCAAGTAAGCAATTATAGCGCGATCTCTCCTGATGACACTCTGGTAATATATGAGTTTGCTGGTCGTCCGCTTGCACATCCGTTGCGACTTTAGATATTTATCAATACTAACTGTATCGGACTTTCTTTTTATGGGGAAATTGAATCCCCTGAGGTTGTTCCCAGTACATGGTGAATCGACGTTAACGGCCTTCGGTGGAGCAGGGCGATAGAGATGGCGAAGGAGATTCATAGGTCGAGATTTTGTTGTACCTGAAACAAATTCCGTGCTTAACCTTATGACCTTAGAAGTTTAGGACTTCTTGGTTCAGAGTCACGAAGATGCGCCGCCTTAACATCACATAAAAATTTTATTTGCTTCAAGTTCCGTTTGGAAGGCAGAAGTATCATCACACTTGTCTCGGTCGTGCATGGTAATGACTACTCTGAACTCTCAGAAAGTACAGTGTAGTAATTCTAATAACAATCATAAATTTAACCTTGATAGTTAATTCAGTGCCTGCATATCAGCAACTATTTGTGATCATTTGACATCTTCTGCACAAAATTATTTGTCAGTGTTAGACTGAGTCAAAACTACGTTGTCTGGCTAACCATGAATTTAAGCCTATTTTTTCATTATAGTAAAACTGGGATCGGCGCATGCTCATCAAAAATTTTCCAGTTTTATTTGGCGACATAAAATTTCAAATGCCCTGGTCACCAGCTGAAGGTATATTTTGCATGCTCTTAATTTCAAACAAAAATTCGAAGCAAAGTATTAAAAATTTTTGAAACCAAGAATTTTTTTAGAAAGATTTTGAAGAAATAAAATTTTGAAATTTACTCATAAAAATGCCATGAAAAATTAGCTCTTAGTTACACTACTCACGGATATGGCTGCTGTTCAAAGTATGAGACCCAACCTGAAAAGATTTGTATTGCAGAATTTTAAATTGCCAGATGATATGGTAGATATTGGCTGATTAAAAAAAAAAAAATTTCTATCATACAACTTTAATGTTATGTTTCTTATTTGAATAACTATCATTTTAATAAGGATCAGAGAAAAAAATAATCAGTTATTGCCAAATGAAATTTGATCTACTTTCAACTCACCATCTTCCCTTCGGAATGCTCTAAGTGGTCTTGACAAGTGTCAGGGGCGTCTCGAGGCACTGCTGGAGTACTGCTACCTTCATGGCTCAGTCCATTCACACCAGAAATAGGAAGTTGAGCTAGGAATGTTTCCTCCCCCAATGATCCAGCATTAGGGTTAAGAAAGTGCAGGGAGTTTGACATGCTTGTAAAGGTTTGTGGGTCAGAGACTTGAGCCGAGTTTACGCCAAGTGAACTTTCGCTGCTGCTATCAGCATGCCAGACAGGAGAAGAAGTGGCGGCGGCAGCAGCAGCAGCTTTAAATGTAGGATGGCCATATGTTTTAGTAAGCAGCTTTCTCCTCATGCGGTATTTTTTCCTGTATTCAGTTCGTCGCGCTACAAAGTGAGGGTCATTTTTCATCTTATAATATTGAAGTCGTCTCTTTTCACGCCGAGCAATGTCAGCAGCAACACCTGAAACTTCAAATACAAATATTGTGATGTTGGCTTAGTTCCTACTACTGCTTGATGCCACGGCCTACAATTTGAGTCAAAATACATAATAATGTTTAAGTATCAAGTTCTGTTACAGTTGCTTGAAGATCTTGAAGTTCACTAGGTAGCTTATAACTCTCACAATTCTTATTACCTACTGCAGAAAAAACTAATGATTTTTCCAAGAATTCTAAATCAGATTAAGTGAAAATTGTTGTCAAGAAGAAAATAATCTTGGAGCCAATGAAAAAAATTAATAATTTTAGTCAATAAAAAGTGCACCAGATAAAAACATACCTGAAAGACCCAGCATCTTCCGTTGTTTCTTGCGCTTTTGGAAAAAAATTACAGGCATTCAATAACCAACACACAACAAAGAAGAGTTGATGGTATCAACAAATAACATTAAAAAGTCAAATTTGGTCTAAGGACCACAGGTTCCAATAGAGGTGACTGGTTTAATGCATTAGTGGACATTTCATTCAGAATTTCATCAATAATCTAAGGGAATGAATACAATAATTATGTATTAGCTTCAACATATATTTCAAAATAAGGTTATAGTTATTAATTTCAAGTTAAATTAATTTAGATTTTCATATCAAACAAAATATCTAGCTTCATTGTCAGACTAAACAATGATAGTGAAGCTCAAGAAGAATTACCTTGAATACATCTGAAAAGAGATGAGAATGAGCAACATTACTGATCCCAGTGCTCTTAAATACAATTCCGTCACACTCTTTGCTTACATCTTCTGCTACGACATCTGCTACCTGTGAAGAATCAATAAGCTATTAGCATGAATACAAATCAAATAATAATTCATGTAATGAAGATCTATGAATTTGATTTTAAAAATTATTTGAAGAATAGAGCATCATCAGTTTGCCACACTAGTGTAATTTAGCCAATAGTTGCTAACAAATAATTGATACATCTTGTCATCTTGTCATGGTAATATTTTGTCATTGATAGAACCACTACGAGTCATAACTGCTTACCTGTTGATCCCAATTATTATCAGAACCATTACTGTAGTTGTGAGGTTGCTGTGTCTGTAGCTCCTCTTGTTTCTCCAGCTCCTCAAGCTCCTTAGTAAGTTCTTCATCAAGGGAGCAGTTGCTGTCCACTTCCCAGATATTCTGCAAATAAAAATAAGTTTATCATGATCACACTAATTATAATTATTGCCAATTTCTAATTACAATAAAGCACGATGAAAAATATCTTAGAATTGATCAAGTAATGCCAAATAGAAACATCTATCCATCTTAAAAAAGAAAATCCAATCAATCATAACTTATGAACTGGTCCTAAATGTCTAGGTTAAAGATGCCAGGACAAAATTCTGAAGCTACAGAATTTATTTTTGAAGTGGAAGAAGTTTCAACGGATAAGTAACGCACAAAGATGCCAAATTTTAGAGACTAGAGCCAGAGAACCTCAACTGGATCATCACTAAAGTAGAAGTACCGTACTGTAGTTATTTTTTTTTCATTGCATGTGTATATTCATTCTACTGCCAAATTTATCACAGCATAATTTCAACATAGTTATTTAGTTAATTTTTCAGTCATATGCAGGCATGGAAAATATCTACCTTTTGAGCTAAAACCAGAGCTTTCCAACTATTTTTGGAGCTGCAAGATTCCTGCTAGATGTATTAGCTCCTATTTAATTGTTAAATAGAAGTGCACAATTAGGCTGCAAGATTCCAAATCTATAAAAAATTTGTCACTTGGACCCTTAGGAGCCACAAGATTTCATTCATAAGTAGGAAAATTCCAATCCAGTGTGCAAGTTTGCAAATTATTCATCTTCACTCATTTCAGCTTTTGATTAATGGTATTCTTGCTACATTATTTATTCAGTTAACATTTAAGTTCTCTTCAAGGAGTATTTTAAGGGGAGCATCTGGGTCCAAAATCGACAATTTGACTTTTCCAGTTTTTAGTTTCATCTTAAAGCTGACATTCTGACCTATCCAACGGTACCGTCAAACGGGGTAAAAAGGGACGGGCGGGGTAAATAGGGATGTGCGTCCCACATTTCGTAGAAATGTTGTAGCAGCTAAACTAATCAAAATATTGCAAAACTAAAAATAGTGGTGTAAACGTCAACATTTTTACTGTCTATTATGTATAAAGCTAGTCAAGAAATCAAACATTTACTATCCCTAAAAAATCGTTGAATAAAAGTGTGAAAAGTGCGATTTTGGAAAAGTACCCCTTCTAAGGTCTGGAGCAAAAAAAAAATATTTGCCATATTAAAAATTTTACTTACATAAAAGTTGCACCCAAGTGTCGGCTTGAAAACGTAATTGACACAATTTGCCTATCTCATTCCCAAAAAATGGCAGCCATTTCTGCGCGATGGGGTAAAATAGGACACCCCCCCGGGGTAATTAGGGACACCCTTAAAAATGCATTTACAGTAGAACATCAGTTAGCAAAGGCTCCAGTTAACCAAAAAATTGATTAACAACAAAGAATTTTGATTACATTAACCTTGCTTGGCAAAAAAAAAATTCACTTATTGAAAAATTAGTACATCATCAGTCATCACAAAATTGTACATAGAATGCTATATATAGAATTGTGCAGCGGGCATCATAGAATGAAAAGTAATTGACCTAAACTATGATTTATTTCTTCAAAATATATGATGGTTGTCACTAAAACATTATTTTCTGTTCCAGGTATGTTTTTCATGATCTTTTTTGTTATAGTGAAATCACTAGACTCGATTAAAATTGTGCGAAATTACAAACCATCCTGCAAGCTTACAGATACAGAAAAAATGCTACATGGCTGCTGATATGAAGCTTGCAGTGGAGAAGGTTGTTGTCAATGCTCAATGGCATGTCCATGGATACAGTAATATCACATTAATAATACGGTACTAATTAATGAATATGGTAATATATCAATAAAGGAAAAACAAGTAAAAATCACAGAAAATGTCATTCATTTTAAATCTACATCATCTACAATGAAAGAGGAGGACTTCAGAGTACTGTTAGTAATGGATGAGTACACTCTGCATGCTTCAAACGTTTAAAAATTAACTTTTATTGCAAGTGTCCCGGATTACCCCGTTCCCAGGGGTAAATTGGGACGGTTTTATTTTGCGTCTGGCACCTTACGAATAGCATATGGAATTTTTTGAAGATACCATTTGATAGCCCTTGCAAAGAGCTATAAAATGAGCCTAAACTTGTTTCTGAAATGTTTTATGATAAGAAGATATTAACAAAAAACGCTCAAAACCATCCCTTTTGACCTCGTTTGACGGTACCAAAATCATCTCTGTACGTTGATTTATGCGTTCACGACAGATCGCGAAAGTGCAAGGGTTGGTGGAGTTCTTTAACATTTAACATAGGAAGTAAATGGCTCAGTGCACCTTAAATAGCTACCGGTAGTCTTCACACTCTCCAATCCAGTAACCCTTCAACAGTTCGCTCAGTTGTTCCCACCATCCTTGACGGAGATTTAGCTCCAGTATCTTCTGGTCTTGCATCCTAGCAACCTTGAATGCTAATTTCGAGATGCCCGGAAATTTGTCGGGCTCTACTGAACAATCACACTTATTGTCACTGGATAACTATCTCCTACAGTTTTGAAGCTACAGCAATGAGAGATATACCATTTGATTTGCAAATGAACGATCTAGAGATTGGTCGTAGCTTTTTTTTCAATTTCATTATAGTTTTGAAAATATTTCAAAAATAAGGGGGGTCAGGGAAATGGGAAAATTCAAAATTTTTTGAAAATTTTACGAAAAATGCCCCCACACCTGCAAATATTCGAATTAAAAAAAACTACAAAGAATCAATAGATATGGTCTTTACGCATTGAATGATATGCGTCTTGATGTTGTAGCTTGAAAATCCTAGGAGATTTAGGTCCCTAGGATTTTCCTAGAATTCTAAATCCTAAGAGATTTAGAATCCTAGGTTTACTACAGTAGTACCCCCTTTTTGGCCATTTTCTAAGAATTTCACATTTTCTTTTAAATTTTACATGAACAAAAAAAGTCTTAGAATTACGTTTTACATATGTGTACCAAGTTTCAAAGTGATCTGTCCGTAAATAAAAAAGTTTTTCTGGGACCCAGATGCTCCCATTAAAAGAAATGTGCCAGCAAGATCTTCAAATATTTGCTCACTTTAAACCTTGACATGCAGCTCAACACAATTTCTTGAGCTCTAACATACTGTTAAATGGGGTAAAAAGGGACGGTTTTGAGCGTTTTTTGTTAATAACTTCTTACCATGAAACATTTCATAAACATGTTTGGGCTCATCTTAAAGGTCTTTTGCAAGGGCTATCATATGGCATCTCCAAAAAAATTCCAAATGCTATTTGCAAGATGCTAGACGCAATATAAAAGGCTCCTGAATTAATCTGGAAATGGGGTAAAAAGGTACCTACACTTGAAATAAAACTCAATTTTAAACATCTGAAGCATGCAGAGTGTACTCATCTATTACAAACAGTACTCTTAAGGGGACCGACTACCCTCCAGAAAAACTTCTACAGTTATTATCCGATCATCATGAAACTTTACATACATACGTAAAATGTAAAAATAAGAACATTTTGTTTTTATAAATTTTTCGAAAAAATTGATAGAAAACGTGAAATTCATAGAAAACGGCTAAAAAGGGGTACTTTAGAAAATCTATCTCCTCCTACAAATATCATCCTACAACATCGAGACACGTATCATTCTGTTCGTAAGGACCATACCTATAGATTTGATGATCATTTTTCTCATTTTCAACTTATTTTTTTTATGTGCGTTTTATCCCATTTTTCTCATTTTTTTTCATTTTTCCCCCCTCCCCTCCCTTCCCTTCTCCCCCATATAAAAAACGAACCAGACAGAAATTCAAAAAAATGATCATCAGTTCGATAGGTATGGTCTTTGCGAGTCGAATGGTATGTGTCTCATTGCTGTAGCTTGAAAACTGTAGGAGGAGACAGGTTTGCCGTGCGACCAATCGGAGGTTTTCAGGACGCCCAAAAAACAACCGCGCAACACGTAAAATGACGTAAAAGAGTCGTAACGTAGCCAACATACCGCAACCAAGCCTTAAAACTAAGTGAGGAAGGCATAGAGCGAGTGGCTGCACACCTTTCACCTCACTGTCATGATGGGCACTGAAAGACCTGGCTGCATCTGGCAGTATATCAAGTCATGCCCCGTAATTAATGCCTTAGGAATTTGTTAAGGCCGCCCTCCACCGCCCCCCGTTCCATGGGGCGTAGTGAACGTAAAAATGGAGGTAGAAAGATGATTCTGCCACCAATGGAATCGTCAGAAAGTAAGCTTTAAGATGAGTATGAGCACCGGATAATGCCATGATTGACCGCTTTACGTCAGACGTTCCTTTTTAGTGTGTCCACCCTTCTAATTAATCCCATAGGCTTTACTGAAGGGCTCTAAAAACTCCCTCCCTTTGGGGGGCTGTTACGAAATCATTTTTTGACGTAGAGGGATGATTCTGGTACGGTTGGATGCGTCAAAAGAAAGCTTTAAGATGAGCACAAAAACCGGAAAACGCCAAAATTGAAAATTTTAGGGTAGTCGGTCCCCTTAAGTCCTCCTCTTCCTTTGTAGATGATGTACATGTAGTATAAATGAAATTTTCTCTGATTTTTCTTCATTGATATGATATTACCTTATCCATACATTACCATATTATTAAATTGATATTACTGTATCCATGGACATGCCATTGAGCATTGACAAACGACCTTGTCCACTGCAAGCTTCATATCAGCAGCCATGTAGCATTTCTTCTGTATCTGTAAGCTTACAGGATGGTTTTGTAATTTTGCACAATTTTAATCGAGTCAAGTGATTGCACTACCGTCAACTGGGGCTACTCGGGACGATTTTGAAAGTTTTTCATTCATAACTTCTTACCATGAAACATTTTATAAACAAGTTTAGGCACATTTCAAAGCTCTATGCAAGGGCTTCTCCAAAAAAATTCCATATGACATTTGTAAGGTGCCAGAAGCAAAAAAAAAGAGACACTTGGAATAAAACTTAATTTTAAAACATTTGAAGCATGCAGAGTGTACTCATCCATTACTAACAGTACTCTGAAGTTCTCTTCTTTCATTGTAGATAATGTAGAGGTAGAATAAATGAGATTTTCTGTGATTTTTACTTGTTTTTCTTTATTGATATGATATTACCATATATATCAATTACCGTATTATTGATGCAATATTACCGTATCCATGAACAGGCCATTGAGC